TTACTATTACATGTATTATTCGTCTTTTTTTATATATAATACATAATTCTAGAAATCTTTAGGGTAACATAACCCACCGATTTGTAATATATCAAGTTGCATCTTCTCATCCATAATGGAGATTGCTGTCAACATTAATATAAATATATACATATATGTATATATATATATAAATAAATAGACTTAAACGGAAAGTGTTGTTTAATTCTCCTTCTATTTTGATACAGACACCCTGATTCATATATTTAAACACACGCCTAAACTATATATTATTAGACACACGCTTTAGCTATACATCAAGAGAACATACAAAAAGATATCATATTTATGATAAGTTCCCTCAGGAGGCTATATTCCTTCTCTGTCTGTGGTTCTGTATATTTTGAGAGAGGTTCGAGGAGAGGAGAGGTTTGAAGGTCTAACAATGCGACAGCTGATTAATGGTCCTCGCCTCGCTATTGAGGATATTTCCTCTGTAATGTATAATTCTCCTCTATCTCGACCGTGCTGAGCGACTGAGAGACCAATGGTCCAGAGCGTTATTGTTCTCGAAACTAATTGGAAGCTCTCTCTGGCGAAATACGTCATATCAATATCAACTTCTAAAAGAGGTTATATGTACTTCTCTTTTGTGTTTTGATCCTAATCGTTGCTTAAGCTCTTATCGCCATAACCCTTCCCGAGAATATGCAAAAACTCTTTTGTAACCGAAAGATATTGTAAGATCTTTATGACAACCGAATAATTATATCAGGATTGTGTAATGCGATAAATCTTCCTTGTTTCAGCATAATAGTATATTTTCGATGTTAAAGACTTGTCAAACTAAATCTTCCCGGGAAAATTGGAAAAAAAATTTTGCTCCCATATCTATCTACTCGACTCTCAGAATCTTGTTGGAATAATCATAACATATAGAAACGCTTAATGTTACCGGACCTTGCTGGTTGGTAACCGAAATATATTGGAAGGTAAACATATAATTATCGTAACTATTTAGTATTCATACAGATGCTGGAATAATCCTTTCTCGGGAATATGCAGATGCAGATGGCAGAATATGCAGATGTATTGTAACGCTTTCACTATATCATATCTATTCTTACGGTAAGAGAAAAGACTGTTGTTGTTATATATCGACACGAACTACGACTTTAACAACCGTTTGTCGGTAAACGGTCTCGTTACGCAGTTTGCCTAGAAGAGACGTCCGTTATTTTTCGCGCCGTCAGTAAGGACAGAATTTTAAGTGGCTGAAGTTGTCAGGTGCTGAGTCTCCAGGGACAAGTCATTGTACGGTTTTCGATCGACGACGGTCAATGGATCCCACTTCGACAAACAGGATGATAAAGCGGGAGCCCATGAAGGTTAGTTTGTTTATATATATATTTAGTCATTGTGAGTTTGTGTTTTTTTCGTTGATGATATTACAAGGTGAACTATGATTCATCCCTGTCAAATTGAGTCTATCCTAACGAAGGTCGACTAGCAGAGGTTTTAATATTCGTTTTTGTATATGTGCACATCTCTGTGTATGTCAAACTATGAGGAAAATATTTGTTGTTATCATATGGATTCATTAATGAATGTGGTAAATATAGTGAAGGACAAATAATAGAGAAGAAGTTATAAGAGATTTTATTATTATTATTATTATTACTATTGTTATCTGATTGTTATTACTATAGGGAGACAGAGAGAAGAATGACAAAAGGATGATACCTGTAGAGAAAACTATAAAAAGGAAACCTGAGAAGGTAGGATTTTATATCTATTTATATCTAAGAATTTGTATCTATTTATCTATTATTGCCATTGTTTTATTTTCTGCTACTACTGCTACTACTACTATTACTACTACTATTATTATCACATTACAGATCATAACAGGAACAAATAAAATGTTATCATCATTAACTACTTTTGATAATGATGAGGATAATGATGATGATGATATAATTGTTTCCAATATCACTGATGAAGCAAACACTATAACCGCTGCTGTTAATACCAATGCTATCATCGCTACTACTACTGCTGCCGCTGCTATTACTACTACTACTACAACTACTAATGCTACCACTCCTGCCGTTGCTGTTTCTACTACTATCACCAATGCCACTAATACTGTTACGAACTCCATCGATTTTACTGCTGCTTCTGCTGCCACTCCAATCGATCCCACTGCTGACTCTGTGGAATCCACCACTGTTTCAGACATTGCCACTGGTGTTGATAATACTGCTACTAACGAGGATGATGAGCGCGAGGTTAGTGTCCGGTACAGTCTCAACAAACACTATAATAATATTAATGCCCAAGTTTTTCAGGCCATGTGTTAACCTTTTGTTATATCTATCTTCAGGTGGATGTGGTATACATTTCGAGGAAAGCAATAGTAGCAGCAACGACATCCGAGACGTTTAGATCAGACGATAGAATGAAGAACCAAGTGAAGAAAATTTTAAGTGGACCAACAATAGACCCCAACAAGCTAACTTGCTTCATTTGTAATAAGGTAATTGTATATTATATGTATATCGTATTCGTGCATGTGATTATGAACAACAGAATATGTGTATATATGATATTCTTCTACCTTTCCAGTTTCTTTATATTTATTTTCTCTCATTCGTTACTCTCTCTCTCTCTTTCTCTCTTCAGCAATACATTAAACTGAAGAGGCACTTGAAGAACATTCACAAGATAACGGGAGCAGAGCTCGAGAATGCCCATGGGAAGGCGAGGTCTCAACGCTCGGGCATCTCCCTCCAGAGTTGTAATCTCTGCGGCAAAGGCGTCCGTCACATGAAGTGCCACTTGCTGAACGTGCACAAGTTGATTCCTGGTAGCGATGAATATAGAACGGCTCTCGGTGCGAACGCGGAGCGTCCGCGCAAAATTGCCGAGAAAAGGAAGAAGGCGAATCAGGAGAGGAGGGAGGGTCTGACCAAAATTCCGGTGTCGGTGCAGGCATGGATCGGCTACGAGTCGAGGGGAGGACTGACCGTCGACGGAAAAGGCATGCTGAGAAACATGAGACTGGTGATCGAGATATTGGAGAAGCAATCAATGACCATCATGAGCCTGATCGAATACGGAACGGTCAAGAAGTCATATGAGCTCCTCTACCAAGCGCTCAAGAAGCGATATAAACATACGAGCATCCTCGTAATCCTGGGTCATCTTAAACGCTTCATAGATTGGGCATGTTCCGAGGCGAATTATCCCCTCTGCGAGTTGAACAACAGAGAACACAACTTCTACTCCAAGCTGTGTCGGAGACGGGGGAATCTCGAGAACATGGCCAGGAAGACTGCGGAATATATACCCACGGTCGACGAGATGGGACCTCTGATCCAGTACTCAAAACACCGGCATATTGTGGACGGCATGATCGATCGACCCAGAGACACCCTCGACGAGTATAGCATCGACCTCATCCACGCTGTACTCGCATGGCCCCTGATCATCAGAGCGGGGGCGAGAACGGGAGTCGTGAAAAACCTGCTCGCCAGCGAAGTCTTGGAGGCGGTCAGGTCATCCGACGGTGTCGTCATAAAGGTGAAGAACCACAAGACCTCGTCGCTGTATGGTCCCTACCAGATCGGCATCCCCGCGAGAGAGCACAACATGATCGTGAACTTCATCCAAAACAGGAGTTGGGAATCCGAGTACGTCTTCTCGTCGAAGCGGGGAAAACCCTTCTCCCTCGCTAACATCCAGCGATTTATGAAGAAGTTGTTCCGTCTATACGGGCTACCGAGAATGAGGATAGCGACTGTCAGGAAGTTCCTAACCACCCAGGTGCACAAAGAGGGAAATGACCAGATTCAAGAGGCGACAGCCTCGCTCCTTAAACACAGCATGAAGACCGCCAAACGTGACTACAAAGCCATGCAGCGCGATCTCGAAGCTCTAGACACCGCAAATCGTCTCTCAAAGATGCTTCAGGATCAATTGCATGGAAAGGAGGACGGACGTCAGGGTGATGACGAAGCTGGCGGGGGCATCGCCGGTGCTGGTGCTGTTGTTGCTGCTACTGTTGATACTTCTTCCGCCGATGCAGTTACTGCGGATGATAATATTACAAACGATGATAACGATATCGTTACATCAAGTGAGTATAGGGATACTGTTCCTAGCGATATTTGCATTGTTAATGTTCCCGACATCGATTCTGATTACTGCAAATATATGGAGGCTGTCGATGATGAGAGAGATGATGCGAGTATAACGAGTACCGATATGGATAGCGATGATATTAATCCAAATATTAGCAAGGACAACAATTATATTACTCCCAGTACCAGCAAGGGCACATCATCTAGTAAACACACAGTGAAAAGACGCGATGACAGATTTACGCCTCACCATCTCGCACTGATCAAAAAAGTATTTCGAGCCAATATAACCAAGAAGAAGAAGCCAAGTCTTGCAGTCATAGAAAACAAGAGACAGGAATTAGAAGACATATACGCATATGAAGGTTACGATCCTCAGACAGTAACAAAGAAAATTTACGAGTCTGTAAGGTCACAAATAAGATTACGCCTGTGAGATAATATTTTTTATTGTTTGTTTCATGCGTTCATATGATTTTTCGGTACAAGATATATTCATGTATACAACTATTGGCTAATAAATATTGGTAATTAAAACTCTCGTTTCTCTTAATCCCATTATATATAACAAAAACAAATTTGGTCATTTATTCATCTTCAATGTAGCTGCAGCATCCAGTATAACAAAAATGTTATATACAGATTTGTTCTATATTGTATATTTCCTTTACAGTATTAAAGCTGTAATATACAATTTGATTATATCTTATAATTACATATCTTCTACAGAATACACTCACCTAACACATGTTTATATATTTATCCATGGTTGAAATATAAAACATAACAAAACAGATATACTGGTTGGTTATACGTATTTTTTTATTCCATATCAAATATGCACTTACTCATACATGTAAGCATCTACCCATGATTCTACTTGTCTTTGAAATTATACAGTTTCTCGATAACCGACAAACACTGGGCAGCATTTGTAAAAAGTTCACCACTCTGAATTATATGTCTGCGATGTGCATGCCGTATAATATAATCAGGAATTCCACAGTCCTTCAGTGTTTGATAAACATTTGGATCGACTAATACATCATATCTCTTGTCCCGTACCTGAAAATAGGAGACACACACGTCATGCAACAATATACACGTATATATAGTAACAATAGAATCGTTACACGATATATTTTATCTTCAATCAACTTACACTATCAATGAAGTTATCATCAACTATAGCCTGGATGTATTCACAATCAGGAGACCATTGGGCGTGAACACTTATAGGATCATCATTGTGCTGCCATCCATATATGTTAATTTGACAGGAGAAACACCTTACAACATCAAATTCACCTGAAAAGTATAGATAAAAAGGAGTCTCGTTGATATACACATACCCGAAATCGATGTACTGATACACACACAAATACAAAGCTATACGAAAATGCGCATCTCACCCGTGAAATAAAATCCACTCTCAACCATGTGATCAACATTGCAATATTTATTTGGGAAATTTGTAAAAGACAAGAAGCGTTTTTTGGGTGTTTTATACAACGTTCTAGTCCGCTTGGCGTATCGTTTACAATAACGTCTCATCATTTCTGTTCTCGAGTAATGTTCATAGAAGAGTTTCCATATATGAAAGAGCATGATCTATAGTGAATATTTTTCATATTCATGTATCCAGATCCCTTTTCGATAAGAGAGGAATAATCTTCCACGCTTATACAAACTCCACAAAAATAGCAAACTAGGTCATCTGGGCATTTTCGATAGAATCCGTTCCACGCCAAACTCTTCGCTAAACTCCCAAAGGGCCAATTAATGAACGTTAACAATCGTTCTGATTCGTATCTCAAGCTTTTACATTTAACGCTGTAGCTATTCATGATGCTACTTTTGTAGGGCTGGGTTGGATCAGCAGTGAGTGGGCAATTGAGCGAGTGAGAGATCGATATCTGCAGATAAAGAGATGGGAATATATTCACCTCATCGCGCAACACATTTCTTTTCCTCCGTGCCCGCTGGTACTGCACTAACATCGACATCCATTGCACTTTACGACATACGGCGATATGTTATATCTTTGACATTTACGACATTGAATCATTAAACTCTTGCAGTTATAGATACTTGTTGTTGCCTTTTTGGGTATGTCGTAGACAGAGACGGATGACGACATCATCGATGACGATGGCACTATTGGCGTAAACGTCTCCGTCCTGTGAATTCTATTCTTTTTCTTATCAACGGGTAAGGTGTTATAATGCTTCATCGACTTGTCTATTTCAAAAATACTTTTACATATATTTTGGGGGACGTCATATTTTACATCATTTGGAAATATGACAGGTATTGTTTTATTTGGTGTATTGTAGTTGTTGTTGTTATTATTATTATCATTATTATTATTATCATTTTTCTTTTCTTTATAATATCCATTATCTTCTTTATAGCCTGTATCTGTTTGCATCTCACTGTGTTTTTGTACAATGTTAATGTTGGTATCTGACAATGTTGTTGGTGTCAGATGATCAGTAGTATTTGTATTTTTATTCATTATAAGGTAAGTGTTCTCTTCATTGATATTATCATATATATGTTCTTTCTCTTCATATTCTTCCTCACGGTGACATTGTCTATACTCTGAATACCCGTTATGTTGATCGAGTGGGACAATATCAGTATTCATAATTCGATAGTACCAGTCAAGTGGTTTGCTCTTCTGACCTAGACTAGTGGTGGGTAGCATATTGCCTACATCTATGCTATCATATATGATACCCAGACATTTCTTGAACTTTTGGTTTTGTATGTCAGTTACATTGAATAACCATTGTAGGTTGAACAATTTACTCTTTGTATCCCTATTAGAGTAATTAATTTTAGATGCAGATTTGCATAACAGTAGTGCACAACTCGTTTTACTTCTCTTGCTAATATAACTCAGACGAATATTTTTCTTCTTGTTTGTTGTATCATCTTCTATAGTATTTCTTATATTTCTTGAATATCGAAGATATTTCTCTTCAGCTACTAGCATCTTTGCTGCTTCTTTTACTATTCTTAAATTTATATCTCTGTGTGTGAGATACTCATAAATCGCAATTCCGGCTGCGGTCGGTAAGTGAAAAAAGGATAAATCATGTTTAATCAAAGCATTTCTAGACATCGATAATGTACTCTTTTCAATCAGCCTTAAAGTCATGTTTTTTTTCAGAAATCTGTCGCGATATAATTTATTAAAATAACACATATTCCACAAGAAATCTATTATATATGGAATACTAACATTCTTATTCTTATCATTGTCACTATTGTTGTTTTTTTTCCTATAATATTTGTATTCTTCCTCCGTGATATATTTGTAAATAAGACACTTTGTCTACCAATTCGTTTTCTATACATCTCATGGTAGATTCACTCCAGCCTTCATTTAGAATACCGTAGATTAAAACACTAATTGTATCTATGTGTATAGAGCTGTTTGTATCAGCATCATCATCATTATTATTATTATTATTATTATTATTATTATTATTATCACTTGCAGTACACGATGCCAGTTTCATAACATTGTTCACGGTATATATCTTCTTTTTTAAAAATAGCAAACTATCATGCTCCTGTACTTTTCTTATACCGTCAGTGACAAATAACGCTTGACTCCGTAGCTGCTCTATGCGGTGAATAACATCTTCATCAAAAAATAGGAGCTTATAATCAATATAGTCATACATTATTATAATTAGAGTAGTTTACCTCTCAATATTATAGCTCTGAAAAACTTCAAAGGATATTTCGCAATGTCCTCGATGATATCAGGTAACCGACTTCTGTCATAGGAATCTATATATAAAACAGTTGAAAGAGTATCGTTTGCTGTTTGTCCTCGTCCTTTACTTTCGATAATAACAGTTTTCAAATGACCGCTGCTGTGAGAATATAGCGCTTTATTTTGATACAAATACTCCTTTCCGCCGTTATAGATGTCGCTAGTATTTACAGGTTCTTCACCAATAGCAATGCGATCGTCATTTCTTTGTATTCTCCCTCTCACGATGGTATTGGTTTCATAATTTGGTCTGACTTCGACTTTCACTGTAGGGAAATGTAATAGATATTCTGCAGCGTTAGACTTGTTCAAATTTACGGTTATTCCCTTTTCCATCAATAATCCCAGTGCACAGTATAATGTTAAACAAAGAGCTTCTTCAGATGCATGGGTTAATATTACGCCATCGTTTCTGTATGACGATTTAATATTGTCTCTGTCAGAGAGATCATGTGTCGATATCGGATAACCGGCTTCTGTCAGTGCATTCAGTAATCCCACCATTGATGAATAGTATATCTTTCCGTATTCTCTCATTGTCAGGTAATGTTTTTCATTGTCTTATATACAGTCATCGTTGTTATTTATTCATAAATTTATATACACGTTTATCGTTATAAGATTTTTTTAAATTCAGTATTCTCACCATCGACGATTAGTATATCTTTCCGCATTCTCTCATTGTCAGGTAATAATATTTATTATCTTATATATAGTCATTGTTGTTATTTATTGCTAAGAGTTTATATACATGTTTATCACGTATATATAACGTGCATATTATTACGTGTGTATATGTGTCTGTGTGTGTCATATTATAACTGGTGGTGATATATTTATATGAAAGGAATGAAATAAAACACTTGAATACGGTTAAATACGTAAACATACATATGAATATTATTAGGATACAATAGTTTTACATGCATATTTGATGTCACTTCTACAGATGGGGCACTGTCTCAGGGATACAGCACAGGAAGCACACGTAACCATATGTGCGCATGGAAGGAACACTACAGTTATTTCACTGTCCATGCACACTTTACATGTGCGATTTTCACGCATCCGTTCGAGTTCCTCTTTCAGCTGTTCATCTAAAATAGAAAGAGGATCAATACAAGTGTTAATTTCTGATAATAATAATAATAATAACTAACAATAATGATAAAAATAATAATAATAATAATAATAACAATATATTCATCTATAATAGAAAAATTTGAATAATCAATTATAATATAGTTTATACTTACAAGACTGTTTTGACTTGAATTCTTTTATTTCCTCATATTCTTCCTTTTCTTCTTCACTAGTCTGCGATATGATTTCTTCGACTATTTGCAAAATATGCTTTGTTTCAGTTTCGGTATTTTCTCGTTCAGATGATGATGATGATGATGATGATGATAACGTTGTAGTTAGAGGTGCAGTAGGGAGTATAGCTTGTTGTCGTATCATTTCAGATGTAGATGGAAATACAGAAGCTTGTTGTCGTCTTATTTCAGATGTAGATGGCAATATAGAAACTTGTTGTTGAGATAATAGTTCAACCTCGGTAGATTCGGATGGAAGCGACTGAATATTTGCAACCCGATTCTCCATGGTTCCAGACGTAGATGGGAATACAAAAGTTTGTTGTTCAGAAATCGAAGTTGAAATATCAGTCTCGCCAGATGACGGCTCACACTCTGTACTTTCAGAACGATTATCTGCAACCTGATTCTCTGTTTCGTTCATTCTCTGTATAACATCTTCAAGACAAGGCTCTATACCGAAATACGGTTCGCCGGTTTGTTCAACCCGATCTTTAAGGGTGGCCCTGACTATATAACTAGGAAATCCCAGTCTCAGTACACCCTTGGCGACATCCAAACTCATCAATAGATCCAATTCTTGTTTGGATAGGGATTGCACCTCCGTTGGACTATTACTGCTACCGGAAGCAGCTTTATCGATACCCGAATATATAGTACTTGCTATGCGGGTGTATGGTGGATATTCTTGCTGGACCTAAAAGAAATTATAAAAAATATTAGTATTATAGTAATAGTAATCTAATAATAATAAAACAATAATTAGTAAAATTATCCAACAAAATAAGATACAATTAAGAGGTGTATACATACTTTATTGATATAGTCCTGGCCTTTCATCAATAAGACAAATCTGCATTTAGGATACCATCTAGCGTGTTCCTTCCAAGGTATATCGCTAGATATCCAATTGCGAAGACCCTTACCGCAGTGGAAACAGCGAACATGATCACTCAGACCTATGAAAATAATAACAGTAACTGTTACCTCAAGTGTTTCTTTTGCGAAAGTATATAATGTTTCTTTTGATAGAGAAGATGCAACCAATTCCAGAGTTCTTAACGAGCTGATGTTGTTATCAATATTTAACACCTGCAATTAATCTACTATTACTTATATACATATATATATAAAAACGTTGTACCACAGTAGAAAAATCCAGCTTCGGCAAGATCTTGTATGTGCAGACCAATATCCTCAGGCCATTCGACATAGGTCTCCAATCGGCTATCTACTGTCATGAAATCACTTCGTGTCGGTCCAGAATGCTGGGAGAGACCAATTCCCTCCAGAGATCCTCCTGTGTGACGAAACGATAACAGGGAATGAATCTGGATTGAGCTCACGGGTAAAGAGTTAGATATAACGTTCATAAATACTAATCAACGATAAAAGATATCAAATTACTCACTGCATTCGGGATATGATCCGGCCATATGTCTTGACGATAATCCGCAAACGTCGGCCTTAACACGTCTTGACGATCTGCAATCGTCCAGACTCACATGTAGTGCCGGTAACCTGGCTAAAATATTACCAGGAATAATGGGAACATTCCCAACTGGCTGATCCCTAATAAAGGGACAGTGAGGAAAATGGCGCTGATGTTCTCCTCTTGGCGTGTCACCCCGTTCCCAGGCTCCAACTATCCCTCTGCAGAAGATACACGCACAGTAATCCCTTTTCCTGAGATGGTAAAATCCGTCGGCCGCCAATTCTGACGGTTTCAGCCATTCATGAGGCCAGTCGATGAAGGTTCCTAATCGCTGTTCTTCGTATCTTAAACTATCGTAGCTGACGAACGTCATGTTCCTGTATACTCTAGTGGCCAATTTGCATGCGAATGAGCAATGAGGGTTCATCGTTCTGTGAATTTTAACGATGTCATCTGACACTGCGAGAGATTTAACATCAACTTCCAAATTGCAATCAAAGCACCTCACATTATTCCCTGCGTCCGTACTGTAAAATCCGGCTTCGGCCAATTTCCTAATATCAATGGGAAATATCTCATGTCCGCTGAACGTGGCTAACCGATGTTCTTCCTGTTGCAGAAAACTGTTAGGATGTGATATATCCATTATGTCTTCAGTTATATTGATCTGGCAATGGCTATGAAAACATTATTTCTTATAGACGAATTAGAGATCTTCTCCCGATGTAAAATATGTTAACACTACGCTTAAAAGTACAGGAACCGGAGGAGGAGAGAGTCGAGTCAAGTCTAACTCTTTATACCATCAGTCAGTGTTTAAATAGATAAGCCATGTTTCTAAATATATATATCCGTCGGTCTTGAGCATTCAACAAAACATTTCGGAATAATCGTTTTTAATATTTAACAAAGGATTCTTCGTTCATATCGATCTTACAATACGTTAGAGATGAAACACTGACAGAGGAGAAGCGTCGAGAAGATAGACTTATAGTTACTTCAAAATTCAAATTGTTATATTAATATAATATCACCCCTAATATAAAGATACAGAAATCGGTTTTAAAAATCATTTCATGCCGACTAATCACTAAGTTTAAAAAACATATGTAGTCTTCTTTTAACCTGAATAGAAACACAACCTCTAAATATAGATTTAATTCTTCCTTCCAAGAATCTTTAGAAACAAAACGATTTTATATCTTCTCGGAATAATTACAGTTCAACAAAACTTTATATTGATTACTCATTTTATAAAAATGTCGTATTGACTATACACATGAATTTAGGAAGAAATTTATTGTATTGTTTATTCCTACGAATTATAGGAGAAATTGATTTAGGGTCTTATATTGTCATATTCTGAAAAGAATTACAGTCTCTTTTTATACATCAACTTAATACTATTCTTCACACAGATCTTCCAGCAAGTTTTCGAGACAAAAGAAGTTTGTGTGTTTTCTCAGGAAGGACTGTTTCACTAAAATGCTAATAACATCGAAAAGACATAATACTCGATAAATCACCCTGTTACAACAAGGTTTTGAATGTTGAAAAACATATTACAATCGAAGCTTGATAAAATATTCTTAAAAGGACATTTTAGTAAATATCAGAAACTTTTCTGCATTTTCTCGGCAAGGATTATTTTAAAAATGCCTGAGTGCTAGATAATTATAACAATAATCTCTGTTGACCAATTACCAACAAAGGCCCTTTTTGGTTCCCAACCTTTCTATATTTTCTCTGAAAATACGATTTCGACAAAATTTTGAACATACAGACAGACGTATTCATACAGAATTTATTTATGAAAACCGTAATCTCATATTATATAGTGAACGCTTGACAGAATATTATTCACAG